TTCATCCAATGCAATCTAGGCTCCTGCTGCGGAGGAAGTGTTGGAGAAACTCCCTGAAAGTGAAGGTAAAGTGCTGCAGCAGTAATGTCTGAGTGTTACAGGATGTCGGCACATCATTGGCATCCATGTTGCTCTATTTCATAGCTGACTTGTCAGCATTTGGTGGTTTTTCCGATATTATAGAAGCAAAGAGAGTAGAGGACTAAGCCACAAACAAAAACAATAAACAAAACACACAAGGCTGTTCCTTATTAACAAAACTTATTTTTCATCAGCAAGACTTTAGGGTAAATATTTGTTAAATTTCAAACAATATTATTCTTTTGAAAATCGTATTACAAATTCCATAAATAAATAAGCAGATGTTGGGGGAGTATTGGCCTCCTGGGTTAGAGCAGTGCGCTTGTGCTCTGAGATGGTTGCATGTACCTGGTTTGATACCCACAGCCTGCACTCTGAGTCCCTGAGCAAGACCCTTAACCCTACACTGCTTCCTAGGTGCCACACAATGGCAGCCCACTGCTCCCCAAGGGGATTGGTTAATATCAGAGATACATTTCTCCAATGTGAGATCAATAACGTTAAATCATGTCCAGTGTATGATACTGGTTGTGCCACCACATTCCAGTACACAGCAGTGGTGTAAATCACATTTCCCTGCAAGATGCCATGGCCATGGCCATGTCGTTTGCTTGCTATTTTATACCTTTAGTGGTTGTTGAAATGAGGTCCATCACAGAACTTTCTGTATTAACCAGGCTTCATTTTATACCTACCTAAAAGGACTTTAATATACACTTTAATATTTATTTTAACTGTAGTCTAAAGCCTTCAGCTGATCCAAAACGCTGCAGCAAGAGTTCTGATGAAAATTAAAAGCTAGCTTCTCTTCATTGGCTTGCTGTTAAATCCTGAGTTTAAAGTCGTCCTTCTCACATATAGTGCCTTAAATGGCCAAGCTCCATCTAATATCAGTGATATGATTGCTTCTGATATTCCCAACAGGGCATTTTGCTCTCAATCTCCAGGTTTACTAGTGGTTCCTAGTATTTCCAAAAGTAGAATGGGAGGCAAGTCGTTAGTCAACAGGCTCAGGTCCGTGAGGCAGACACCCCGTCTGCTTTAAAAGGTAGGCTTAATTTTTTTTCTTTTTGATAAAGCGCATAGTTAAATTGGTTCAGGTTATCCTTATGCTGCTATGGGCTTAGACTGCTGGAGGACATCCTTTTTCATCATTCTGCTTCATTATCTCTCTATTCTCCCACTCTGCAGAATTTGTTAGTTAAATCTCTAATGTTATGCTCTCTCTGCTTTTTCTCATAGTAGCTTCATCTAGTCTGTTCCTGTTTGGCTGTGAGACCATCCTGGAGAGAAATATAAGTTGTGCTTCTGCCATCAAAACCTTTGTTTATTGATATTTGATATCGGCCTGTTTTTCTGACGATGACTGGCTCGATGCAATCAACTGGTTCTCCTTAGTTAGAAAAGGTTTTTCAAGTGTAGTGCCTTTTGTATCTCTGCTTCTTTCTGTAATTATTTAACTTACAAATGAAATCAGCAAAATAAATTGAATGTTTATCATAAGATTTATCATAATTCAACAGTAAATTTCACATGAATTGCAATGATCCTTTTTTTGCTAAATTATTTCACCTAAATCTTAATTTCAAGCATGAACAATGTTCATACTTAAGTTTGGGGGAGGATATACGACCAAGCTGGGACTGAAATAATGCTTCAGAGATTACTCATACCTTCATTGGGCTCAGTTTGCAGTCAGTACTCATCAGTCAGACTTTCCCCACATCGTATTTACATTTCTCTGTTTTAGTCATCCACCACTTTAACCCCTTAAGAGCTCATAAAATTTAATCTGTATGTATGTGTTTGCCTTCTCACGAATAGGCAGGCATACACAAAGAGATGCAGAATGAACAGGGAGAGGAGGTAGTGATTGTTACATTTCACCAATAAAGCTACGAGGTCTCTAATCTGCCATAACATGAGTATACGTGCATGTATGCTGATGGATGGATGGATTGATGGATGGAGCTTTAAGGCAGAATACTAAGAGTATCAACAAGTTAGAAGTCCCACAAACATTTCCATAGTCCACAGAATCAAACAACTCTACTAGCACAAAAAAATAATTAAGGCAAAACAGCTACCATCCGTTCCCTTTACCAGCCTGGTATTTCCTCACACACTAAATAGGATGCTGTAAAGCATGTATCTGCCCCCTCACAGATTTCTGTTGTTTCGGCTTTTTGTCAAACTTAAATCTCTCAGACAATCTAATAAATAATGGCAGAAAACAATGACAAGAGTAAGTCAGGCTTGTGGGAACTGTCGACAACTTACTTTCAAATCTAAATCAAATTTAGGGCCAGTTTTAGGAGGTTTTATTTTTGTCAACAAAGAAAAGTCTAAAAAAGGGATCCCCCAAGATTTTGGGTGTCAGACTCATTTTCACATTGAGCCACATCAGCATTTTCAAGACTTTAAAAGGGACTGGTTAGACAAGTTTAATATAAACCTTCAATTCCATAATTTCATTCACAAAGAGCACTCTGCTCTGGTATTACAAATTTACCCCTGCTTATTTTACAATTCCAGCCGCTTTGTGCAATCCAAAATACCTCTACTTTAGGACCTTTAGGACCTTATGCATTTCATTTTACAGATAAGATTTGGTGACTGACCAAAGAAGACAGATACAGCCCTTCAACAATAATTTTTTTAAGAGCGATGTTGTTGTTTATTTTTTTGGACCTAGAGATTAAGACGCGCCCACAACAAAAAAAGCTGTTTTTAATGGTAGACAAACTTCTTCCAGCTGCCATCGTGCAGCAGTGATTTATCTACCTAAACTTGAGACAGAAGAAAGGAACTGATCCAAAGTAGAGACTAGCCGTTTTTTTTCTTTTACTGCCGAACCAAAACCATAATATAAGGATAAGGAGTTGATAAGGAGTGATAAGGAGTTTTATTTTAAGTGTGTTAACAGACCGCTCCATCTGATAGGGATTTGATTTTAACACAATAAATACAAAATCAGAAAAAAACATAAAAAAAAAAAAAAAGAATAATCTCCTCCAGTGAAGTGCCCTTTACATAAAAAGAAAAAAAAACACATCTTCGCCTCAGTTTTCAGTCTGTTCGATTTTGCACAGTCAGATAAACTAATGAATAACAATCAAAAAACTATAATGTCCCGTATAATATTCAGAACTGGAGAAGAGGAAACAATTCCCACGGGACAAAACTTGTACATTTTTGTCAAGAAAACAAGCATGATTACGTTATTGGGTTTTAGCAGTGTGCACAGGTGGTTAACAATATTACCAGTGGTGCAGAAGACGCACTCTGATGGTGTGCTTGTCTTTGCCCACTATCCCCTGCACAAATATATCATCCTTTGCCATTTGTTGGACTGAAGAATATAGCGGTCGGAATACTTTTACATATCGCCCAACCTTAGTGTCAGGCTGGATTTGATGCTTGGGTTTGAAGGGCTGACACAAAAGCCCCAATGAAACCAATAGTTTTCAGATGACACCTAATGGGTGAACTATAGTCTCCCTGTGTATGAATCTGTCTTGCTGTAAACTCAACCGTTCTGTGAAGAATACAGAGGTTTGATAGAGAACATTAATTAAACAGGCTCATGATGACAAACAATGCAGACAGATCGGGTAAAAAGTCGTGCATCGGTTTGAAGTAGAGCTAGGTTACAGAAAAAAATATTGCATGATTTTAACGTTTCATGAAGACCTTTCAGTCAGTCCTCCAATTATAGAAAAAAGATATTAAACCTGCTCACGCACCAAGACGTCATGTGAAGGAGACTTCAGGTGATATCAGTATGATTTAGGAGTCTACGATGAAATTATCGGCCAAGGGGGTACTACTGGGTAGTAAAATCGAACGGTACCATGTTTAAGTACCTAAGCGCATTACTAGCTGCCTTTCCACTAACAATCAAATTGCACAAATCTTAATGATGAAAATAAATAAAAAAAAAAAACTCTTTTTGGCGCTTCATCAGGGTGGTTTTTTTAGTTGCATCGAAATTTGCATATTTTGAAAAAACCTACAATGGAAAGATTTCTTTTCCGCATCCCACAGTTCATGTGATTTGCAAGTGGACCGGAAGTAGTTGGCGCCGTGGCTAAAACATGGCTTTATCTTGTGTGTTAACATCCGCTGCTGACACATTGTTTTCAAGAGTTATTGCAGGATCAAACATTTTCACATGCAATTTTAACTGTATTTCTTATTTCTAATGGAAATAAAGCAATTGTGAAAATAAAGAGAAATGAGTTCAAGTCTATTTCTTTTCCTTCTCCTTCACATCCAAACTGAATCCTTGCATATCTCCCTCTCGATAGCGGACTTATCAAGCGAGATGTTGCTCAGATCTACCTGCAGCTACGGGAAGCGGGGAGGGAGGGCTACTCAGCAGCGCAGCAGTGATAGTGCATTTTATGGGGTAGAAAAATAAAAACAGAACCCTCTTCGGTTTAGCATAACAGTCCAGCAGTTTGGGAATCCTTTTAAAACTCCTTATGGTCCCTCCACCTTCATCTTCAGAGGCTGCCCTCTGTCTGCTGGTTGTAGCATATGTGTTCACATGGTTGCCAGCGCACACAATGCAGCATGTTGATGACAGAGAACGGAGTACGTGGGCATGAAACATTTCATGTTAACATGAACATTATAAAATGAGAAAGTTCAGGTAGAGCGGTTGCATAATGAAGGATCAGATAAAATAAACAAGAATAAAATGCCTTTTTTTGTTAGTAATTGTGTTTTATGCAGGAATCCAACAGTTTGGTAATATTTCAGGTTAATCAGCATTTCACTAAATGGCACAAAACCCAGGATTGCTTTATAGCTGCTTTACAAACCTAAATATACACCTTTAAGTGTAACAACTGCTGTATTAATATCTGGAAGTGCTACATCTACAGGGTATGTATGAAGCTGTGAGGTCTTACCTTGATACAAGAAAGAAACAGCAAGTTTGTTTTTTATTTGTTCAGCCAATCCTCATCAGTTTGGATGTCTGCAGACTGGTGCACACACTGGATAGAATATCTGGAGACAAAAAAACAACAACATATAACCAACAAACATAATCATTAAGGTTAAATTAGTTAAACGCAGGTCTGGGTCAATTCATTCCTTTGTAATAAAAACCGCAGTAGATTTTTAAAATGTTCCTTTAAACCGATGTGTCGAACCTCTGTCCTTGGTGACAATCTACTATGTGATTTAGAGCCTCAGCTGGAGCAAAATCTGATTTAAATGTCAGGGTCATCATCAACAGGCTTCTTCAAAACTTGATGACCTGCTGAGGAATAATTTCAATCATTTGAAAATGGATTATGCTCTCCAATTTCAGATACTTAGCATTTGGATAAATGCCATTTGATTAAGCCTTAGAGTAAAAAACACTTTGCACAATTTCTTACAGAAAACCAAAAAACTCAACTTAAGAGGGATATTAGCAGCTATGACTAAAACTTGCAGATTGTGAAAACATTTCTCATTTTTACTCGTCATTAAGAATTTTATGTAATGTTGAATTCTTTTTTCCGATTCTAGTTCCAATCCTACTACTTCTATTACTAAAATAGATCAAGATTTAATATATTATAAAATAAAACAAAGGTATTGTTCTTGTATGGCCTCTTAAAACTGACCACTGCTTATGCCGCCATTGGAATATGGAACTGCTATGCCGTGTTTACAAGAAGAGGAAACTGGTGTTTAACATTATTGTGAAAGAGTTTGGTCTATCTTCTCTGCAGAAGAATTGTACTTTTTCCACAATATAAAGCTTTTGAACACAAATGGAATGTTTAAGGTCATGCTGCGGCATCTCACTTGACAAGATGCTAACTGTAAGATGCAAGCCACTGTAGACAAAGCTCAAACAAACGCGAGATACTTTTACCAGCATCTTTGAAAAGCGCAACTTTACGTGAAGCATTATTCCTGATCGGCAAACCTTAAGGCAAAGAGGATCAAGCCATTGAATTGGTTAAAAGTGTTATTCAAACCCAGGTCACCGGTATCAAAGATTCAGACTATGTCAAAAAAGATAAAACAAAATGAGGGACTGGACGAGTCATACATATATACGCAAAAAAAGCTAAACCTTTCAGCGAACAAGCCAATGACTAATAGGAAGTTGACTGATGGGAACATTTCCATCAATGATGGAGAATAAAGGGGAGAAGTGAACAAAGTGTGTTTTAATTACAGCCATCATATTTGCAATTTTTAGCACCATGCAACCATTGTCTGTTTTCCTAACACTGTGCTTAGGAATGTCTCAATCTGAAATTATTTCAATATCGGAAATCTGGGTATGCAAGTGACGCAGTGGTTAGTGCTCATGACCCATGTATGCAGGCCTTAAGGGCAGATTAGACCTCTGCAACCGCACACATCTAATGTCGCTTGGGTCCGGTCGCGAACCAGTTTTGCTGGGATGCTTCTGCACCGTCGGTCTGGAATTTCAAGGGATGCACAGCAGTTTCCCACCAAAGTGCTAGGGGGAGTCAATTCGAGAACTCCCGAGAACATCGGCGGCGCCAGCAGGAGTGTTTATCTTCCAAAACAACAATGGCGCATCTGAAAGATATCACGGTCATAGAGATAGATCTAGAGTTGCTAGACATCGAAGAGGAATTGTTAATGGAGTTCCTCAGTTTTTAAAAATGACGCGCCCCGGCACCGAATCGAGAAGAACCACCACACACACCGCCGGAAGGTCATACCAAGGACCGATCACAGCTGCTTTTTGGCTGCACACTTCCACTTAGGGTCTGCGCGGGTTTGTGGCCGTCTGACATGTAGTCAGGATTTTTTTGAGGTGCGCGACGACAGTTGCAGAACCTCCGCACGGGGGAGCGTGGTCGCACACAGAAACAGATTTGACGGTTGCAGAGGCTATGCGTCAGAATTATAAATTGGCATTTAAAGGGCCGGTTATATTCCCTGCAGCAGTGTGTCGCAGTGAGCTTGACGCAGACATTTTTGATTTATGCTCAATTTTGAGAAGTGGTCTGCACTATCCGCTGTGGGACTACATACGGCTGAGGCGGTGAGGAAATGGGGGCGAGTTTGTCAAACAACGGAGGGACATGACGGAAAAAAATCCAGGTGGAAAAAGGGTCCCAGCGTTCTTGCACACCTTTCTGTTCTATCTGGTCCAACTTCCTAAGTTGTTTTCTGCAACTGCAGTCATAAAAACAAAACAAGCAAGCATTCTGTCTGCGGTCACCTACAATTTGGGAGAGGTGCAGCAGAGTGTCTGCGGAGGGGGTGGGGACGTCTTTTTGTTCACTGCGACACCTATGCATATGACCTGGTTTCGAAATATAAATCAGCCTTCAGTCCTCGACGTGGCCGACCTGGGTTCGAATCCGACCTGTGGTCCTTTGCCGCATGTCTCTGCCCCTCTCTCATACCCCCTTTTCTGTCAGCCTACTGTCAGAAAAACGAGCAACTAGTTAAAATTCAAAAAACAAACAAACAAACAAACAAATCGGAAATCTGACACATATCAGCCAATAATCAAATATTAGAATATATATCGCCCTGCATCTAAAACCTCCATTATAAAAAGCTGATCAAAATGCAACACTTCTATCCACTTTTGTTTAAAGTCTATGCAACCTATTAGTCAATAATACATGGGTCAATTATTATTATACCTGCATTTGTTTACTACTGTTCTCTGACTGAGTAATAACACTTAATCACACCTTTTCTAACATCTCACAAAGCAAACTAAGTAGTCAAAGTATGTGTGATTGATGTGGATAATAGTATCAATAAATACTCAAAGCTGCAATATTGGTATTATATCAGAATCATAAAAAGTTGTACCGGGACGCCCCTAAATCTAATCCCTATTAAGTACACATAATTTCAGTAGAAATATTCAATACTGTTAAGTACTACTACTAATACTATTATGCAATAGCTAAATAAATAGGCAAATAAAACAGCCATAGTTTTAAAGGCTGCTGTATTGAAGGATGCAGTTATTAGCTTAGAATCAGCGTGTTGTCTGATGTGTTTGATTAGATTATTTAAGTATTTTGAAAAAAACGTTTTCCTATAACAATAAAGAGGCTGTTATAGTTTGTTCAAATGTGTTTCATTGTTAATTAGATAAAACCTGTATCCACCTTCAGGTAGTGTATAAACCAGTAAGCATCTTAATTTCCAACATTAAATTCCTTCTTGCCTTGAAATTAAATAGGTATTTTTATTATTTTGATTCTATTTAGGGCATTTACAGCATAAACTGCATGTCATGTCATACAGTTGAATTGAGAAATGCCTTAATGGGCATAAATCAGGTGTGCTGAAATAGCTAAGGGACAGCAACCAAAACAACTGCCAGCATTTTAAGCTAATGTTGCACCTGTACTTTTACTACATAGAGCACAAAGTAAACTCTACATGTATATTCGTTTTTAAAGTCGATTATATCATAAACCAATATGAATTTTTTATTTTATTTGGTAAAACATTTTCAAGTTCAGGCATTTTTGGCGTAAAGTTAGCTCCATTTAGAGTGAGACTAGGGCTGGTAGTTCACAGCAGCGGTGGCTAAGTTAGCCTGGAGCCAGCCATGGTCAGCGTTAGCCACGAAGCTGCCAGAGGGCTGACAGGACAACGGCGGTCTAAGAGCGACAACCGCAGGGAACTTACCGAGGCTCTGGGTAGAGGAGCTCGAAATGTGCCCCCAGACCGATGAACAACAACTGGATGCACGGAGCGAGCGACAAACAGGACGGTGGGAGAGAAATGAGAGCCGTGTTCAGCTTGTAAGGAGGTCTTCACCTGGTGCTTCCATTTCTGTTTACCAGATTGCATTCTGGGACACCGACGTCATTAGCGATGTGTCCATCGAGACCGAGTCAACGCTCTGTGCCGATTCTTTTCCTCCATCGTTCAGTCTAAAGGCCATTTTTTCTTCTTCTTTTTCTTCTTGTGAGGTTTTATGGCAAACTAGTTTAAGTGCATTACTGACACTAACTGTTAAGAAGTTAAGAAAGGAAACAGGAAACAGGACCTAGTAATAATATAATAATAATAATAATAATAATAATAATAATAATAATAATAATAATAATAATAATAATAATAATAATAATAATAATAATCCGAACTATTTAACTATCCAACATATTAAATACTTTATCAGATTTCTATTTTATCTTAAAGTCATCATCGCTCTGCCAGTTTCTGATGGTCCTATTGTTTTTTCCATCATGCTTTCCACCATTTCCCAGTTTAAATCTCTAACTCAAGATACTTTTCTGCAGCTTTCATTATTATTTTGTTTGATTGATTTATTTTTTTTCTTCTTCTTCTGGAGTTCTGCTTCCACAGAGCCACTGGGGATTTGAAGGGTTTTATACAACTGTGGGGTTTTAACAATGTGTTGTGCACCATTTCTGAGTCAGGAGAGCTGAAATATAACAAGCTGCTTTTATAATGATGTTCTGATGACCTGAGTCTTTTAACTGTTTGTTTGATGAATCATTGTTAAATAAATGTTTTGTAAAAAATCAAAAATCTTCTTCTTGTTCTTCTTCTTGTTCTTCTTGTTTTCTGTATTCTGTAGATAAATAAATAAATAATGCTTTCCTTAACCTGTGAAAATCCTTTATATTTCTTTAATTTCCCAATATCCCTTTAAGACTCCATTCTTTGCCTGTCATTTATCGTATTTCTACCTACATTTATTTGTTTATTGTATTTTGGGGGCCATTAATTGCATGCTTATTTCCTTATTAAGCATTTATTTATTTCTGTATTTATTTTTAAATACGGCAGAGTTGGTCCTCCATACAAAAACACATAATCCTATGGAATTATAATGGACGGAATAATTTTATCTCTTTTTTTTTTCTTTAAACATTCAATTTAAATACAGATAAATGTTGCTCAACCTTCCCACGCGGTAGGTCCATCTGAACTCTAGAGGGGGCAGCATCGGTTGAAACTATGTCTGAACGAGAAGCAGAAGAAGACCTTCAATCACAACATGGGGGCTGTTACTGACGGTAAGTGATAGTTCGATTTATTCTCTTAATCTTTTTATTAAAATATGTTTTGTTGACGGTTGGTGGGAGGAACGTTGGTCGTTTGGTGCATGGCGCGTGTTTTGAAGCTGCTCTGCTTGTGGAGAAATGTCCTGGGCCGTGAGTGGTGAGGAAACAGGAAGCGATTCTTGTGGGATGGAAGAGGGAAATAGTGACAATGAAGGTTGGAAGATAGCAGCATCAAAAAATGAGAAAAAGCGGAAAAAACAGAGATCAGTTAAAGGGGAATCTAGTTCAGAACAATCCAGTGATGATCAATCCATACATTCCACAGCACAACAAAATGAATTCAAAGTCATATTCAAAGTCGTTAATCAGGCAGACTCTTTTACAAACTGGAATCCGGTTCACTTAACAAAAACCATCAATAAACTTGTTGGAGAAGTCAGAGGTGCCAGAATTCTGTACAGTGGAGACCTGCTAATTAACTGCAGAGACAGCGCCCAGCAAGGCAAAGCAATACGTATTAACAAAATTGACGGGATAAGAGTTCAGTGCAGCCTAATGGAGAACAAAAAGATCAGCAGGGGAGTCATTGGAGGAGTTCCTCTGAAAATTTCTGAAAAAGAGATTCTGGAAAACATAAGCGGTGCAAAAGTAAAAGAAGTAAAACGGTTAAAAACAACAAGAAACGGAGAAAGATCTGACAGTTTATCTGTACTAATTAAATTCGAGGAAGAGCAATTACCAAGCAAAGTATTCATCGGTTACATCAGTTACAATGTCAAAATCTACAATCCACCACCATTGAGATGTTTCAAATGTCAAAAATTCGGACACATTGCAGCAGTTTGTAAAGGGAAACAGAGGTGTGGAAGGTGTGCAGGAGAACATGAATATGGTAAATGTGGAAAAGAAGCTAAAATAAAATGCTGTAATTGTGGTGGAGAACATACTGCTGCTTATCGCGGCTGTGAAGCAAGCAAAAGGTCTGAAGAAATAAAAAAAATGAAATTTGAGCTTGGAATAACTTATGCTGAAGCTGCAAAAAGGATCCCATCTCAGTCAGAAAAACCCAAACCTACAGTTCAACACACGGCAAATTTCAAACCTCTAGAGAAATCTCCAAAAATTGATGAAGACTCACTAATTGTTAAAAAGACAAATTTTGTTCTTTTCATGGTGGAAGTGATTAATTGTACTGCTCAGACGACAAAAAAAACAGAAAAAATCAAAATAATAGTGAAGGCTGCAGAAAAATATCTGGATGTTAAAGATATGAACTGGGAGATGGTTGGAAGCATGATGGAAAGACCAATGGGACCATCAGAAACTGGCAGAGGTACGATGACCTAGAGTAAATTAAAATTATACGGGCAAATGTAATTTAGTATAATTTAGTATTATGTGGGTTTAAGTTACACAGGTTATTTTATTGTATTTTTTTTTTTTTTTTTTTTTTTGGGGGGGGTGAATCGTTTCCTGTTTCCTTGCTTTACTCCATATCAGTTGGTGGCGGTAATGCACATTTCACAAGTTTGCCAACCGCCATAAAATCTCATAAGAAGAAGAAGATGTTTTGTTGACTCATACCAAACGAAGTGAAGTATCAGCATAACTAATCGGTTCCATTATCACAATTCATTAAATTCTGTTCTCAGAAGTTAACTTATAAACCTTATAAACCAAGATGCTAACCCTGATTAGCTAAGCCAGAAGCTAACTTTTGGCCTGTGTGTTTGTAGACTCATTTACCTCCCTTGTCTGTTTTACAGATGAAGTTATAAGAAAGCGCCTTCTGATTGACGGCGATGGAGCTGGAGATGACCGCAGAATCAACCTGCTACTGAAGAGCTTCACTAAATGGTGCCAATCTCCTGGGAGCCCAGAGGAAGGGTGAGCTAAATGCACTAAATACACTCTCTAGTCCGCTGTGTTTCAACACAAACAATAAAACACCGATGGTAAAAATAATAAAACAGGCCAACACTTATAAATATTACAAGTTGGTAGATAAGGAGCCGTGAAACAATGTTGATACAGATGAAATGATGGCTCCATTATACCTTACACTTCTTTTACTCAAAAGATACTTGTAAAGTCTGTATAAACACAAGTATAGGATCTTATATGTTCAGAACCTGTTCCCTGTCCGATCAAATTCCTTACTATCCAACAAAAAAGCCATAAATCCATGTGTAAATGTTTAATCCATTCTTTTATATTTACTGAGTTTTTGTATTAGAACTTTGCATGTAAATAAAGGAGGACAAGATGTTTCAGACCGAGTAGGTGTAGAAAATAAAATGTGCATAGGAAGCATGTTTTTAGAATCAAGCTTTTATCTGTCTGTCTGTAGATTTACCCAGTATCAGAGGATGCTGGGTACTCTGGCTCAGTGTGAGTTTTCCATGGGGAAAACATTGATGGTTTACGACATGAATCTGAGGGAAATGGAGAATTACGAGAAGATCTACTCAAACATAGGTAAGGTTTGGTTTTTCTTAAATCCTCTTTTGGCAAATCATTTTTTAAAACAGTGTGTTTTTTTGTTTTGAAGAACAAAGCATTAAGTCTGCTCATGACAAGATTGCAGAATGCAAAAAGGACATACAGAGGGCAAAGAGAATAAGGAAAAATCGTCAAGGTAAAGTTAAGTTTTATGCTCTTTCACTCTTTCTACAAAACCTTGGAGGGGTTTAGTGTGTTATACCGACAAAGTGTGCATAACTGCAACATGGAAGGAAAATGATTTATGTTTTTAAAGATTTATGTTTTTCTTAAAAAAAGGATGATAAACAATTTAAAAAGTGCAGCATGCCTCTGTATTCAGACCCCTTAATGAACTAATACTTTCTTGTGCTACCTTTACAATTATAGTTTCAAGCTATAACTGTGGATAGCTTCCTCCCTCTATGCACATCTAGAGACTGAATATTACTCATTATTTACTGTACAGATGAAGAATAGTAATTTTTGAAAGTTTTCTGTATTTAATTTACGCATCAAATCAATCATGCCTGTCTCTGCTAAAGAAAAGGCCACTGCATAAAGCTTCTACCACTATGTTAGACAGTGATGATATAGATTATTATCATACATAGTGCTCTTAGACCGAAAAAATCTATAGGTTTCACCCGATCACATTCTTTCAAAAGGCTGTATTTTGTTTAGGGATTTACTTGAACATTTTATGTTTAGGTTTTTGGATTATTGTGAAAGTTTGCATGCTTAACTGTTTTGTTCCCTTTCAGAATATGATGCTTTAGCAAAGGTTATCCAGCAGCATCCGGACCGGCATGAAACCCTCAAGTAAGTCAGCCTTTTATAATTACATTTATGCTTTTCATTAGTGTTTTTATTCTTTTTCATTTAGTTTTGTTTGCTTACAGGCAGCTTGAGGCATTAGACAAAGAACTCCAACAACTGTCGCACATTAAGGAGAATGTTGATGCAAAGGTAAACAATGTTTGTTATCTCTTATGTTCAGATGTATGTTTCTTTCTTATTCTAACAACTGTGTTCTGTTTAGTTGGAGTTGAGGAAGAAGCAGTTCCATGTTCTTCTGACCACCATTCAGGAGCTACAGCAGACGCTTGAGAGTAAGTACTTATTTTATTTAACGGTACTTAAACTTTAAACTGCAGTCCTGGATCTATGAAGTCCTCTCTAAATTGCCCTCTAATTACCTTTTCTAGATGACGAGAAGTCAGACAGTGACGACCACTGTCAGGAGAGCCCTGCAGGGAATGGAGAATGAATGCGCACAAATCATTAGTTAAATGGATGTAGAATTTAAAAGGA